TGCAACGTAAAAAATGGTGGTGGTGATGATGATGTTGATGATGATGATAATGATGGTGATGACGATGTTCTGTTGTGTGGTTGGTATCCTCATCGCAAGGCATGTACTGCAGTCGTACCCATCAGTAGGCACATGCACAAGCACGATACCATGAATGGACAGACGCAAACCTAGTTACGCGCCCAAGTGCTTCTGAAAATGCATGTGTGTACGGCTGCTGTCGCCGTACAATTGGGTACGGAAAGGGAATCAAATTAGCGGGTTCTGTAGCACCGCCGAGTTCTGATATGAGAAGCTCGATTTACTTTTACACGTATTCGACATTCTCGATAACTCGTGGTGGGATGCGGTCTTGAAGTGTGGCCTGGTGGAGTGGATTGGGGTTGGTTTGGGGTGGGGTGGGCTTCCGTGCGGCATTAGCGGCATCCTGATACAGTTTGCATTTTGTTGGGATGAGCATTCTCCATCAAACTTGGGCCTCGGAATGAGTTGTCGTACGCGGGCTGATTCACGACAGTGATCGTAGTAGTCGTAGTGAATTTGGTGAGGATGGTGAGATCTGTACGTACGTATGCATGTAGGTTTGTATATATATATATATATATGTAGGTATGTGGTTTCAAAAACCGGGGGTCCAGGGCCGGTTAGTCTCGTGCATTTCCGTCCCCGGGTCAGACCGTTCGATATACGACAGCCAGCACTCAGCAGCGTTCCCCACCGGGGGTTAGCGCTACTGCTAAATAAGCTCGAGGTCCGCTGGTCACCTAACGAAAGCGAATTCACACCCCGGCAGTTCTTTCTACGGGCAGAAAGTACAGGAACAACCTCAAAGAGCTCGCGTTCAGGACCTGGGCGACTGGGAGCCCGACGAGTCATCCCGGGCTGGGGAGGCCACCAAGCTCCAAAACGCCTCAAACAGAAAGAGCGTACGTAGCTCACACCACAAGACGCCAAACAGCCTCCCCAGACCACTTCCCACCCCCGCCTCTCCCTCCCTGGGCTAGTCCAGGGGAGATATCAACCGCAGAGGGAGTATCACTGCACACACCCATGACCCCCTACATAGCGCTGGGGCCAACTCTGAACGTGTGTGAACGGGAAGATTCTGCCACGACACGACCGGCGACCACACCTCCGCCAGAAACCGCAGGGGGGGCGGATGGTCGCCAACTCGGCGGACACCCCCATATAGGATGGAGATGGCGTCGCTGTGTAGATGTGCTTACGTAGGTGCGGAAGTCCGTACGTCTGGAAGTACGGTACGCATAGGGTATACGGTACGCATAGGGTATACGGTACGCATAGGGTATACGGTACGCATAGGGTATACGGTACGCATAGGGTATACGGTACGCATAGGGATTTGCTGCAGCAAAGTTGTGTATCTGTCTAAAACCCTAAAACCCTATGATGCATATGCATATGGGCTGCCATATGAGCATTTACCGCACTCCACCATCTGCTGCACACCAACATTCATCCATGCTATGTGTGTATGTACATGGATTATACATATAGAGTATACATATATGTGGGAGGCCTAGGGCACGCGGCTTCCGGGCCCCATGCTGCTTCCGGGCCCCATGCTGCTTCCGGGCCCCATGCTGCTGCCGGCCGGGCCAGGACAGCTCCAGTAGTACTACTGCATCGCTGAGCCGAGTTGCACGAGGATATTTTTCCATAGTTGGAAGACTGACCTATTTATCTCCGCCGTGTACGTATACAACCGGCTTAATCGGGAACAGCACTAAAAGGTTTTATTTCAATTAAAATTTTTCAGCTAAAATAACTTAGGAGTATTATATAGAACCCCATCATAGTGTATCAAATCTGTTCCCACGTCCAAAGGTGCGCCGTTGCGATTTAGTGTCACGGCATCGCCGTATCCTGCACGGGCGAAGATCCTTTTGTGTATTTAGCCTCTTTGCTACCTCCTCTTAATACATGGGTGACATTTCATTCGTTGGGTGACTTATTATGCACGAATCCTGCCTGTAGCTGCTTCGATCCCTGCCCAGTGTCGAATGCGTGAAGGGCAGCGATTGACCTAGCAATAATAGGTTTTGCTGGAAAATCTTAGTTTAGCAACAAATCAGGCCACAATCTTAATCATGACGTTGGGGTGTAATTACAGATGATTTGGCAAGCGCTTTGGGGATAGCTGAGGTCACTCTACTATATCGTCAGTTGACGACGACGCATAGGCTCTTGAAGCTGACACTGGCGGCCACTAAAGAGTTAAGCTATCCACTTCTGCCGAGGATCATGAGTACACGCCTCCTTTTGTTAATTGCACTCGCCTCTACCTGGTCAGGTAGGCATCCTCGGCTGTTTGTCAGCGTTTGCCGTGAAGTATGAGTATCGCACACGCACACGTAAAATTCAAAATTTAAATATGTTTTTGTTAATTACCGAAGTGGGAAGGGAAGGGAAGGGAAGGTCCAAGTCGAAAAGGTTTGTTGCTGCTGTGACTGGAACCATTCTTACGAATTTAAGTTTCAATTTGCTCATGATTTTGCGTATTCCATTATACTGCTGCCGAGTCCATGTACAGTATTGCGGTAGCCAGAAATGCAACCACCTTGCACACGGATGAAGCGCGAGCCGACGCATGGCCTCATGACTTGATGCTATCTGATCACGACATACTAAAGCCTTTGTGCCTTGTAGGTTTATATCGGCCTACCAGTTGTTCCCTTATCGCTTGTGCTGCTACATGCTGTCAGGTCCATCATCTATGCCAGCGCCGGCTACACATTGGGCCCGCTGGCATATTTATGTTACGTATTTATATGTCTCGTGTTACCTTTATGTCTCGACTTGAGTTGTTGCACGTAGCGTCCAATTCCTGGTCCGTCCGATGTTCGCTACCGGACGCGAATAGGAATTTCGCAAGGTTCTCTCGCGCAATCCGACCTCGCTACCGAGCAACGCTCTTCATTTCATCACCATGAATAGTTTTCCAAACGCAAACACATAAACATGTACCTGTTTTTTTATGTAGGAAAACGCACACTGCGCCATGGCGTAGATTTGTTTGTGTGGTCTTCAGGATGCGCCTCCCCCCTCTGTGCGCGTCCCTCCCCCCGCCCCGGCGGTGCTGTCTGCACTCGCAGGTTCCTTGGCAGTGTACGGCAGTAGCGCCGCTGATGATGATGCTCGCGTTGCTAATGGACAAGCTGCCGCCGCCGCCAGGACTGTCGCCGATGGCAGCGGTGGCGGTTTTCATCATGAGGGCCTTATAAGTAGCAGCAGCAGCAGCATACGGAGCAGCGGGAGTGCAGACTTTTCATTTGAGGGCCCCAGGGGATGGCGGTCGGGACAGTTCGGCGATGCGAGGTCGCTGGCGGAAGCGAGGTAAATACTCATGTACCGTACAATGTCGTACGCATTGTTGAGGCGTACCTAGTTCTTTAATCAACTCGCCGTACATGGCCATATCCTGAGGCGATTTGTAGAACCCTGTGTATATTTTTTCTTGTTATGCATAGCTCCCCTCATCATTGTTTTTCGCGGGAACCACTGCTGTACTGTCCTGCCGTATCGTACTGTTTTTTGTACGGGCAGGTTTTCCCTGTCTGTTCCGTGCCCATTTGAACTTACGACTGAGCTAAAATCCGTACTTGCCTTGCTTGCCGTACTCCTTCCAGTGTCCCTGGCACAGGGCCCCCCCCTGGTCTTCAATACAATCATGGCTATTGTGCAAGTATCCGCAACGGTTACCCGTACAAGCTCGCGCTAAGTAACCCAGCTGGAAATGTAAGTTATGGGCTCAATGAAAGTTACAAGATAATAATATTCGAAAGGTCGACCTCGGAAAGCTATAGGTGTTGGCATCCCATGGCATTCCGGTGGGAGGTGCGGTGTTTTCGATGCTATGGACGTCAAAATAAAGCAAGGATGGGGGGGTACTTTGAGGATGGGGTTGCGCATTCCCAACAACTTCACGCATCAGAAGGGGCAATCGGGACAATACTGGCTGAGCACAATAATGGCCGCCTGCTGCTACAGCTGTACCTGTGTTATCCTTTAATGCGATAGTTTTCATCGGAGTAGACCTTGTTGCCTTGTTCGACTATATAGAGCAACCTGTCTCCATTCGCTAGTTCCCGCGTCCATTGGCCATTGGCCGTTGGCGGTTAGTAACCGTGCAGCTGCACTTCATCATCACAGGTTTATATGTTTGTCCTTCTGTTCGGTCGGTTGGTTGTTTGATGCGCGTAACGCCAATAATCGGATGCCAATTTCCCGCGCGTAGGTGTCCGTTGACGGCAGTCAACGCGAATATTGTTTCGAGTTCGAATCTGGGAACGGTTGTCCGTCAGTGAACTTGACGGAAACACAGCAGTCGTGTTGTAAAGCTTTTCTAGGAGAGCTTCACAGCATTTATTTACTGATTGGTGAGAGAGGCGTAATGGTTGATGATGAGATGATGATGATGATGATGATGATGATGATGATGATGATGATGATGATGATGATGATGATGATAATTATTCTAATAATAAATGCTAATAATAAATTTTATTATAAATAATAATAACAGCAGCAGCAGTAATAATAATGCTGTAAAAGCAATAATAATAGTACCAATTCTGATGATGGAGATGAAGGGTCTTGTCCTGAAGGGAATTGACATAAAAGGGTTGGCAAATCAGAACCCTCCGAAGAGGCCCTCTACACCACCGTGTGTAATTAACCATACTGTGTGGATACACAGTGGTCAAGTGTTGCCGTCATCAGCAAAGGTAGGGTGGTGGCCTGCCGCCTGAATGTGATTGGGGCCTGAAGGTAGTGCATGATGAGGCGGCGGCGTGCGGGGAAAAGATATATAGTCGGTCCGGATCCGATATTATTTATCACCTTACCATCTAGGACTACACCATACTGCTAGGGAACTATAGGCACCTTGGAAAACTGGTGCAATGTTTAGGGTAACTCTTATAAATTGTTTTAATGCTATTAGCTCAGGATAGCTAGCTAAAGATTAGGGAATGCAGGGTTTGTAAGAATGATTTTGGTACCTTTTTGGTGATATTTCAATGGTATATTGGATCAATCTCCTCCGAGTGAGTCCCCATGATCGGAAATAATAGTACTATTATTAGGATTCCTTAAAAGGGATTACTTGACTATAATTTTACAATGACTTATACAATACTCAGGCTAATATTGTAGGCTTTGTAGCAACGTCCAGCTAGTCATAGAAAACTGAGTCTGACGGCTTTGGTTGCGTATCGTTCCGGGCATAGCAGGAGGTCGAATATTGCCATATCGTTATTTAAAAACTATAAACGCGTTGAGAATGGTCATGTACATACGGCGCACCGCGTAAAGACTGGCGATGAAAAGCAGGCGATTTGTGTCTGACGATCTAGCTCCGGTCTGAGAAATGTTCTATGAAAAATATCCTGTACTAGTTTCTTCTCAGTTTCCTTTGGCCGCCATGAACCTGGCCAGGAGCTGCGTAAACGGGTAGCTACCGTTGCGTAATGAGCAGTTGCTGCGCGAAAAGGGTAGCTACGTCTTACGTTGACCATACGACAGTTGTACGAATGGCGGGCGCGTTTACCGTATATAAGGCGCGGCCTGACCAATGTTTTCTGAGGGATATTCCAATCATACAACTCCCGCGCACGGTAGCAGGACGCACCGGCCAAGGCAGTTTGTAACGGGTATCGCCTTCACTTGGCGTGGATGACTCCCACCCATTTTATCTTGTCAACAGCCAACCAGGTTCCAACCTGACATTGGGCCTAGTGGCCAAGAAGCAGTAAAACTCTGCTCACATCAGGCTCACAACCACACCTGGGCCTACGGTCTCAGGACAAAACTCTGATTCTGCTTCCGCTCGCGCACACAAATCTCGATCCTATCTCGCTTAAGACAATCTACTGGTATCGATTCCTTTCTATAAACGATCCTGGGCGCCCCGGTGTGTCCATCCAGCGGTTCCCCCAAACGCGAAAATTTTTGGGCTGCCGCTGGGTGCCGCCCGCCGCGGCGCGGCTGGTATCGAGACTAGGGTTTTAGCCCTGTCTCTAGCTACTTTCGAACAGTCTGCTAGGCGTCCCACTGGTTGTACGTCTCGTACGCCATGGAGAGCCAACATCAATCTCACTTTATCACACACCCCCATCCCTCGAGCGTCTCGTCTGTGCCTATCTTCCGGCTGGGAGACAGTGCACGGCAATGGGTCGCCAGGGTTGAGAGATGTGGTCGAATGTACGGCTGGAGCGCAGAGGCTCAGCTGGACGTCGCCATCTGCCGCTTAGGAGATGAGGCCATCTGCTGGCAAGCCGGCATGGAAGCGTCTCTCCCCGATTGGCCTAGCTTTAAAGCCGCGTTTCTGGAACGATTCGATCCGACCCAAGAAGAGTTGTTTAGCCGGCTAGCTCGTTGTCGGCAAGAACGGGGCGAAGCTGTACGGACGTACGCTGACCGCTACCGCGACCTAGCTGCACAACTGGGTGTGGACACGCAACACGACCCCATCCACATGCATAACTTCTTACAAGGACTACAACTCAAGGTTTACAACAAGGTTTTCCTCATGCGACCATCTAGCTTTGAAGACGCTGTACGATGCGCCATCTATATCAACGAGGGCTTGGACCGCCAGGATGTGGCTGGCCACTACGAACCGTTTCCCCCTCAGCGCACACGCGATATGGATTTCCACAGCCATCCTTCTCGGGCTACCCCGCGCTGGGAAAACCGTCACGGCAACCTTCGTGGTAATGTACCTGATTTCCCAACCCCTAGCGGCTCACGACCGGATGGTCCCCGAACTCCAGTGGCTACACAACGTCCCATGGGACCACGGCAACCAGAGCAGAAGCCCGCTGGGAATGCTCCCTGGCAGAGTCGCCCAAAACCTAAGGTTTCGACACCCCCAGAGAATGAACCCCTGGAGTCACGAGTTGACGACATCGCCCGCCAGTTGTCACGATTAACCCTGTTGCTGGAGCACAACCCTAATGTACAATTGTGGGAAAGGGATAACACTCACCATGAAGACCCACATTTTTCCCAGATGGAGCATCCGGACATCTACTCTTGTTTCCGGCCGGCTGCCCCACCAGCCGCCTATGTCAAACGTGTGGCCGATTTTGAGCCTATACCGCTTCCCCGCAAGCGCCCAACGGCTACCCCTGGCCAGGATACGCCTCGGCCTGCTACTACCGGGCGTATAGGCATTGCACGACCCGTGGTGACACCGTTGGCTTCCCCGAATACCCCAGCTACGGCTACCCAGGCTCATCAGCCACAAGAGCCAGCAGCCCCGGGTGCGCCACCTCCAGAGCGCACTGCCGCAACCGGAGGTACCGTCCCAGCTCAGCGAGGCATTGCCAGCACTGAACCTCGTCTCCGACGACGAGTAGCTGAGTCTGGCAGCCGCACCGATCCGATCCCTGCGGACCCACAAGAAGAAGAACGGCGTATTGCTGAGGACATCATTCATAAAGTCAACAAGTATGCACTACCATTGGGTACAACTCTACGATGCAACCCTATCAGCATCTACACGAAGGTTGGCAGCCGAGTCCTTGGGTTGGCTCGTCAGCACACCAACACTGGCAACCCCCAGCCTGGGCCCATGTTTGGTCCAGCGAGGCCTGCGGCAGGCACCATGCAAGCTTCTCTTTCAGAGCGACCATCTTCAACAATACCCGCCTGGAAGTCTGATGCCGTCGTACCACCCTGGCAAGTTTGCAAAGCTACCGTATGGATAATTGACGGACATGGAGGACAAGTTCCCGTCCCTGCTGTCATCGATTCTGGGGCTTCTCATAGCGTTGTTACACGAGACACACTACGGCGTTTAGATCTTCTACACCTGATGGAGGAGACGGAGGTGACGTTCCTGAATGCGGATGGCAATCGTGGTCGGGCCGCTGGACGTGTCAGTGAACTGCAAGTGTCCACTGGCGACCTAACGACGCTGCTGAGTCCGTTCGTCAGCACCGCCCTCAACTATCAGCTACTCCTGGGCACCGACTTCCTCTACCCAATACGAGCAAGTATTTCGTACGACAGTGGTCGTCTGGAATACACCAATGACCGGGATCAGCGGTCCAACATTGCTATCCATTTTCTTCGGAGCCCCGGCTCTAATATTTCCCCGTCTGCTCGACTTTGGGACGACTCACCTGAGCAAGACGACACTCAACCAGCTTCCATGTTGACGGCCGAGGCATCAGTACAGCGGCCTGAGACGCCCACGCCACAAGGGCAGATGTCACCTGCGGCTATCAATAGAGGCTCCGCGCCTGAGACCATTGATTCGCCTGAGGCAAGCAGCGGAGAGGTTAGTGATGGTGATTCGACAGCCCGTGGGGACATGGACATGGAACACATCGTCGGCATACTTGTACGGCAAGTGCTTAGGTCAGACGAGATTCCGTCAGAAAATGCCTCCAGCGGCGAATGGGCTGCGGATGCATGGAGTACCGACAGCGTCGTCAGTTCTGGCAGTGAAGAGGCTCGGGCAAATGTCTGGCCTGGAGATGAGTTCGAGTACGACAATGACTCGCACTCCGGACCTGGACTGCCAATATCGACCCCTGCGGATCCATTCCGTTCTTTTCCTGAAGCTACTCCCGTCTTGAGTTCGCGAGAGCTCCTGTTACCACGATTGCTAACTGAGGAGTGTGCTTCCGTTACCCACAGCCATGCTGTGGCAGCACAGTTTGATGCGAACATACCAGCTGCCCTTGCCCCAGACGGCTTGGATCATGACGGACATTTAGAGGAGGCTCATTTTCGCGGGTTGGTAGCCCGTGCGGTTCGGCCAGTCAAGAGCCCTACCCCTGAGCTACGCGAGTTGCTAAGCAGCAAAGTAAACACCGATCTTCAGTACCTCGACCACCAGCAGCTGGTCGCATGTTTGACTGACAACTTTGACATGTTCGCCTTAACCAACCGAGAGCTAGGGCTTACGTCCTGGGTGTCCATGAAGGTGGACACAGGAGATCATCCTCCTATCGTGCAGAATCCTTACCGTCTGTCACGAACGGAGAAAGCCGCCGTTGATGCTGAGATGCGGCAGATGCTACAGGACGGAATCATCGAACTGTCCAACAGTCCTTGGGTGTCTCCAGTCGTAGTCGTTCCCAAGAAAAACGGAGAACTCCGGCCCTGTGTAGATATGCGGAGGGTCAACGACGTCACTAAGGACATCCGATTTCCGATAGGCCACATCCAGGATATTTTGGATATTGCTGCACCTCCGGGTGGCGAGACTCGTTACTACTCCAGCCTGGACTTGAAGTCGGGCTACTGGCAAGTCCCGATGGCGGACGAGGCTTCTAAGGAGCGTACGGCATTTGCCACGCCCACAGCTCAGTATCGATATGTACGAATGCCCATGGGTCTAAAGGGAGCAGCCGCCGTGTTCGCTACCCTGATGCACAAGGTTCTGGGCCCACTAATAGAGGATTCGCCTCCACCCCCTGCTTCATTGGATAGCCCACCGCGGGAACGGTGTGTAGTGGTTTATCTGGATGATATCCTTATCTTCAGCCCAACACTACAAGATCATGTACGACATCTTCAGCAAGTGTTCGACCTTCTCCGAATGGCTGGTCTCAAGATCGCAGCTAAGAAGTGCACGTTTGGCCAACAACGCGTGGTTTTCCTTGGTCATCTGCTTGACGGAGTACGTGGTGTCGTGGGACCTAACCCCACCAACGTCATGAAAATTGCAGAACTTCCGTCGCCATCCAATGTTCGCGAAGTACGAGCTTGGCTGGGAGCTGTTGGTTACTACCGGGAA